AAACGCTATATATTGTATATATAGGCAATCTGCACGCGCAATACTTAAAGTTGACGTTTCGCATAAGAAAACGACAGTGCTATATTGACGTATCAATTAATGATTCGTGTATAATCCTGTCTACGGTATCTCGCGGGTCAAGGATGATGAGGACGATAGCATCGACCGGCGACATCGTCGTCGACGACGACGTGTACGTTGCACTGCGCGTCTCGGTATCGTAGTGGCGATACGGTGAAAGCTGATATTTTGTAACACACTCTTGCTATTCCGTTCCATTCCATTCCATTCCGTAGTATTGCCCGCTGCAGCCGTTCGTTCCTTGGCTTAACTCGGCTCTCTCGTCATATACACGAGGCTCGACTGCTCGAGTCGTCTCTCGTAATCAAATGCGAGAACCACGCGACGGCAGTACAATAGTAGGCGCACCCAGAATACATTTTTCCCTCCCCGTCCACGTTCCACGAGATTCTCGCTTAGCGGTGCAACATGAGATAGTTTTGCCCATCGACGCGAGATAGCAAGTCGCCGGGAAGGTGTATAAGTCAGCAATCGAGTAATACGTTGACGATAATGACAGTAAAAATAATAGTACGAAGAAAAACGAGATATATATTCTTAGAGACAGCAAAGAATGAGAAATAATTACAATTTGTATTATAATTTATGCTTTTTATTATTCTTGTTTGAAAGGAAAATACAGTATATACTATATAATTCGTAAAATGGAGTAACTTTGACTCAAATTTTGTTAATGCTCAGGTAGAACGCACGTCAATCGGGACATAAAATGTTTTATAAAAAATATCCCGATGATATCTTAGAGACATTTTAAGACGTCTTATATCCTGATTTTAAACATATGCGCTATCTAGACATTTTTTCTGAGCCAAATATTATAGTTATTCTCACTAGGGTTGTCATTATCATATTAAAGAATATATAGAAATATTTATTACGAATATATCTATCATTAATTAAAAATTATTTATATTTACACTGAAGGAATAGGCATTGAATATATTGAATAATGAGTAGACCTTTTTTGATTAACCATATATATATATATATAGAGTGTTTGGATAAAACTCTTGCGGGTAAATGGGTAGAACGGACTAAACTGAATCGAAAAATCCTGTACCATTTTACAATATTCGCTGTTATTAATAATTAACAAGCTTTACCAATTAATCAATTACTAAAAATCACCGAATGCTGGTTTTCAATAATTTCTTACTCAAGCACTATCAACTTTACAAAAAAACAACAAGAGACAAAAATTATTTATTTTCTTCTCATAGAGTTCCGAAAATTTTTTCAAAATTTTTTAGTATCGTATTTTCTCATAATGGTAAAAATAGTTTGTCAATATATGAAAATGCAGTACAAAAAAATTGACAAAAAATTCTGAAAAAATTCTTACAGCTTTATAAAAAGAAAATAAATAATTTTTGTCTTTTGTTATTTTTCTGTAAAGTTGATAGTACTTGAGTAAAAAATTATGAAAAACCAATATTCAGTGATTTTTAGTCATTATACTATATCTTGTAATTGATATCTTGTTAATTATTGCGAAAATATTGTAAAATGGTAGAGGGTTTTTCGCCTCAGTTTAGTCCGCTCTACCTCTATGCGAGAGTTTTATCGTTACTTATCAAATACCCTATATATATATTTGTGTGTTGATATATTTCATATAAAGCTTATTTATTCAGGATAAACATAAATAGTTTTTATATTCATGAGAATATATTTATAGTAGATTTTACTCATTAATAACCCTAATCCCGACTCTCTGGGTTATTCCATTTTATAATTAAAACACAAAATTGACACATTTTTTGTATCGGCGAATACATTGGCTACGTTTACACCGTGCGCTTAGTCCGCGACCTATACAGTAGATGTCTTTGTTTAATCTACAGGATAAATAAAGACACCTTGTATAGGCCTACAGGATAAACGTAGCCATTATGTGATTCAAATATTAATTCCGGCAGCTGTCATACGCCTTAAATATTCAATAGCGGAAAAATGTGCGCGACCTTGACACACGCCTTCCAGACTGCGGATCTCTATCAGACGGCGAAATATGTCTTGAGTGACAAGTGCGCAGATTATACTAATAGGGTCCGAAGTATGAAAATCGATCCATCGATCCAAAACGAGAATACCGTGATTGAATAAATAATTAATTAAATTTTTACCTTATAATATTTTGTGATTCTTTCGACAAAGTGAGTTATCCATAAATCAAAAAGATATGAAAAGATGTGAAAAAGTCATGTGTAAATGTCATCGATATTACATTTTGGAAGCTAATCGCAAATATTTATTCAATATTAAGATAATATGGAATATTAAGATAATAATTTAAATCTACGATAATCGGAAGTCATAAAATATTCCGATTATCTGTACATATATACTATATCACACACTTATCGCCACATGATGGTAAATTGCCTGTTATTAAGAGATTTCACGATAATATCTCCTTTCAACAAGAAATTTTTATTATTCTCGAAAAAGAATTGTCTACTTACCGCTATCGTAGAAATTGTGCAATTAGTAGAATTTTTAGTCAAGAGAATAGTTGTGTAACTTTAAATAACAATGTTACATAAATTTATTCTGTTTCTTATATCAAAAGAAAGATACCGAGTCGATTCGGTTGCTGCACAACTTGCACAAACGTTGATCGCATAGTTTTTAAATGCGATTGGTAATACAATTGAAGCACGCTTTTAACGATAATTACTTCATTTATGCATAATTAATTCTTTAATAGAAATAATTTAAAAAGGACAGTTTTTGTCATTAGACTAAATTAAAAAGCAATAAGATCTTTTTTTCTTTATTTCTACACATAAGATATAATTTATATATTGTATTTTTGTGTGCAATAATGTTCTCTTTCTTCTTTTTGTTTCTTTAAGTATATAATATGTAATATAATATTTTAAACATATTTTATTTCTTTTTAATTTAATCTAATCATATTATTTCTTTTTTTAAATAATAAATTTTATTTGTGACAAAGATTGCTATATAATCTTAGCACACAGTGTTATATTTCTCGAATATTTTAGCATACAAATATATATATTTATCGATCGAAAATAGTTCAAATATCACGATTTATTAGAATAAGGGTGTTAATTTGTTATCTTAGTATCGAGGTGCGAATTATAATTTGCACATGACAAACGATTGATTCATTGCACCTTGATGTATATAACGTGTCCTTGATTGCGAGGAATTGCCAGTATCTTATATAGCGAAGGGAACAATCGTGCCAAGCGATTTTCTACATTTCAGGTATGTGGACTTAGTGGACTTATTAACGTTAACGTAGTTCAAGTAGGTCTCACAGATATCATGAGTATCCGTCTATGTTCAATCAAGTGCGAAGACCTATGGGGGTCACGTTTTTACACGGATAATTTTGTTCCATGTATTTTATAATTTTAAAACTTTAATGTTATTATGCCAGAAATATCGTAAAAACGTAAAAAAAATTGGTACACAAATTAAGTAATATACTAGTTATTACGATACAGTTAAAACGAAAGCTTAAATTGAAACCGAGTTATGCCCACTTCCACCAATGTAGATTAACTGTAATCTCGGCTCAATTTACTTTTCGTCTTTTTCTAATCCTTAGACTTGGAAAAAGACGGAAAGTAAATTGAACCGAGATTAAATTGAATCTACATTGGTGGAAACGGGCAGATAACAGTTACCGTTAAGAAGGGTAAATCCAGATTTATGTTGACTACAAATTATGTGATCTATGTTTTCCTACCTAAATTCGAGATTAGAATAAAGTCTCTTCGGTACCGTTATTCATATACATTCTGTATTCGTGATTGATTAGAGATTTATTTCGTCTGATTACTCAGCAAGAATTCTTTGAAAAATTTATCAGAAAAGATTGCAGGCACTCAGTTATATACGTGCAACCAAAATTAGCAGATCGTAAGTTTTATTTTTCTCCGTAATGGAGTAGTCATCAGTCCGACACATTACTTACAGTAGCGCGATTAATGATCTTTATTTGCGAGAATATGTGTGCTATTTATTTATGTACACGACGTGCGCTTTACTACTTTGACCTGGATTTAAGCAAGGATTTAAAATGCAGCAGTCAAGAGAAAAAACGGCCACGTAGCGGCAAACATTCTTGCAGCGATTATTATTTTTTACGTACGGTCTTGTCTGTCATTATTACTAATAGCCCTGCCGTTACAGCGTCAGTTACATTTAGAGGTAGCACTTGCAAGTGGAACTTTAATGATCGTACAGCTGTTCCACAGAGTGGCAGTTCCACGTTTGAGTCATCTAACAAATATCACACGTAGTTTTTACACCAAATACACTTATGTACGTGGACAGTTCGATAAATCAGTGACTTCTCTAAAAGAGACTATGTTAAAAAAATAAGTCGAATTTTGGTTAAAAAAAAAAGTAAAAAAAGGTCATTGACTTATTAAACTGCTTACGAATATTGACAACAAAGAGATAAATGACAATAAGGAAAAATCAATTAGATAAAAATTGACAATCACATCTTGGGAAAGATTTATCTTGCAATGAATGACAATTCAGAAAGAACAATTGGTACAAGAAAGTCTTTTTTTTTCTTATTTGTAAGGGATTATATTTCTTACAAAAATTTAGTAGTTCTGGGGCAATGACCTCGACACCTGAAACTATGGAAATGCGTCACGTAAGACAGAGATTTATTCTCGCGCCACGATTCTCTAGCCCGACGAATTTTTCGTGCGTGTCACGCGTGTGTCGGCTTACCTACATACCAAGCGTGGCTTTTGAGTCTTCACTCGGTGAGAAGATCCAAAAAAGGTTTCCATCTTAGATTCTTGGCACAATTCGGCGGCGATATGAGCCCCAAGTTCTTCATTCTCGTGCATCTCATGTCACGCGCGTGATTCGAACGTATACAGAGTGTTTGTGAAATATATATACTATGGCCGGTATTCATAATCAGTTCTATTATATTCAAGACCGTCTCAAGTTCTGTCTTGAGATGTCATGAATCAATCAGAGAGCCACATTAGCGTCTCAACCCTAACAAGTCATTCATGGGTTCAACGTACCCTGTGCGATTTTTTACATTGCTGTAACTTTTTTATAATATAATTTAAAGATTTCGATTAGGGCTGAAAAAAAACTTTAACTGTCCATAGATAAACCTGCAAGGATATTTTTTTTGCGTTATTCTCGACGTGAGAATACACGAAAGTTTAAAGAGGGAACCCACACGTGACCAGCTTGTAAGTTTTCGGTGTGTTCTGGGGTACCCCTTTATTTTTTATTAATATATACGTTTACTGAGTTTCGGATAGTATAAAAGTAAGTACACAGAAAATGTAGAATTAAAAAGAATTATTTCAAAATAATAAATAGTAGAAATTTTATAATCTCTGTCAGTCTTCAGAGATCGCTTGGCGGATGTATTGCTTTAGAGAGAGTTGTTGCATCAATCCTCTAAACTAAATTCTGATAAACTTAATTATATATACTATAATAATATTTATATGTGTACAATCCTTTATCTACCATTTTATATTGTTTAAATAATAAAATTTTATTTATTAAATTGTAAACTAAATTGTATTATTATAATATGTACATTTTTCAAAAATGGCGATCTTCGATAGATCAAATAATTATACTTTTTTGTTAGTTCAAAGGGTCAACTAAAAAAATCCTACGGGTTTTTGCTTGAACATTAAATTAAAAAATTTGAGAATTTTTTATCCAAAGTAGTCATTTTTCGCGAATTTTTCCAATAAAATTTCTTTGAAGCATTGTAATTAATTGAAAATAAAATATTATTTATTTGATTTATATTTATCTGTCTTTGCCTGACTTCGAGGTATAAATTTTTAACTAAAAAATACGTATTCAATCTAGAGATATAACGTGACAAAGTTAAAGGGTTTCACAAATCCTGGTGTGATCGGGAAGGTAAAAAATAACAATGACTTATTAGGGTTAAGACATTACTTAAGACGATCTTGTAAATAAGAATCGACTATAAATACCGGTATCTTAGGCTTAGTATCTTGTCGGTGGTTACACTAGGCCTGTTCTTTTTAGCTAAACTTTTGCCCCAGATCAGCTAAAATGTACCAAAATTGAGTAAGTAAAAGAATCAAATTCTTATAAATGCAAATCCAATGTGCTTTGTGTTACGAGCGTGCTTTGTGTTACGATATTATTACTGAGCTATTAATTTATCCAAGAATTTATCGTAATTTAAATATTTCTTTTCTTTGTCCGAAAGGATGAGAATCTGACTAATTTTTATCTTGATTTCTTGGTGATTCGAAAGTTTCTTACTCCTGGACCAATCTTGAATATATCTTTTACCCACCTGTTTAATTTCTTCAATCCGTGTCGAAATCCGAATGCATGTTTTGTGAATACTCTGTACAAAATATGCGTATGTCAGTTGGCACGCGTAGATTCGTTTCATCATGTCGGTCTGAATTCTGACTCGGACTGCAAATCATTGTGGATACATCATGGTTTATGATACTTGAATGCAGGTCAAGGCTGAGAACCGCTGCACCGATTAAAAAAAAAATACTCCACCGTTAGGTGCGAAGACATAATAACAGTTGTCGTAATTAATTTAACGTGCAGGAAATTGATAAAAAATACCGTACACAATGACAAACGGCTGGCGCGAGCCTCTTTTTTTTTTACGCTATCTTTCGTCGATCAGATAGTGATTCGCCAAAGTACAAGTTTGCCCGCGAGGAAATTAAAATTTATTTATGCAAATGCGATCTGATGCCCACGTGGATTTACGGAAATGGGTGTGGAAAAATACGAAAATTGAAACTAATGTGAATGTCAAATCGAATGTTCGGCTGTTTTCTTCTGCCCGTTCGCATATGC